AATTTTAATAATATTTATGTAAAATATAAATAAAAATACTATTATATTATACTCCATCCGTCCCACACACAAAATAAATATTTACTTTTGGTGCGGTGTTTAAGAAATAATAATATTTAAATTAATGGGTAGTTAAAAGTAGTGGAATGATATTTTTGTCCTTGTTTTTTGGTGTAAAAATAATAATGTGATGTAAAGTAAAGGTATTTGTGAAAAAAATGAGATATTTAATAAAATATTTACTTTGTAATTGGAAGTCCCAAAATAGAAATATGTATACTTTCTAGCGAATTGAAAAGAGTATTATTTAATTAAATATAATAAATACAATAAAATTAATATTAATTCTGAAATTAAAATATAAATATATAAAAATAATTTATTTTATAAATAATAAAATAAAAATCACAAAAATAAAATAATCAGTCATGATTTTTAAAAAATATAGTCAATTTTTAATTTAAAATAAAATAAAAAATAAGGAATCTATTTCACCATCTCATCCCGATGGTGATAATTGCAAAAATATAAAATGGATTAAAGGGTTGAAGATGGTTTGCTAGCAAAAATATCAACCGCCTTAAAGACGATGGAATTGCAGGGCTAGCGTCCGATGATTAGCACTTGACCCATAATTCCGATGGACTACTAGCCGAAGTGAACCCAAACACTGACCCAGACCATCAACCTTTTGAACCTCTTGGGTTTCGACTAGTCGGCCACTTTGCGAGCTCATGGGCCCAAATCTTAATTTTCGTGGCTCAACAATACTACTTTGAGTTTAGATGAAAAGAATAGTATTTTATTATATGAGTTTCAATATTGCTGAAAAAAAATTGTCATTGTTTTTTTTAATACTAGATTTATAAATAATCTATTTCTAATAAAAAAAAAATTAGTTAGTCATAATTTGATTACATCTATTTTAATAACTAGTAAATATTTTATCATTATTTTTATTTTTTTATTACTGTGTTGATTTGATCCAATTAACATACGTTTACAAAAAAAAAAGCAAATATTTAATATTTAATTGACGGATATGTTGGTGGATGTCACGACCGGATACCAAATTTTGTCATTTATAGATGGGTATTTACTAGATTTATATTGCTCAGAGGATACCCACGAGACAACATTTTATTGTCAAGGAGCTATTGGTATTTTCAAATTAATTGTGATATTTTGCGCTAAAATCGCTGCTGCCACATGTCAGCGGGCGATGAACTCCATTTTTCATGACCTTATGGAGGGCTCTATTGAAGTATACATAGACAATGTTTTGTTAAGACTTTCGAGGAGCATTTGGAAGATTTACATAAATTCTCCTTGCTGATGCGGCAACATGAATTTATTATCTAAGTAAAACTTTGTATGAGGCAAAATCCCGGTATTCCCCCATCGAGAAGCTGTGCTTGTCACTTTATCATGCGTGCACTAAGCCGGAATACAATCTTATGTATTAGAAACGAAAGATGTTGTGTTGGACTTGTTGAGATACCTGCTGAATAGGCCTGTTCTCCAAGGCCAGTTGGTCAAATGGGCTATGAAGTTACATTATTTTTCCTTGACGTATAAACCCCTCCGAGCCATCAAGGGTCAAGCGGTAGAGGATTTTTTTGCGGAGCATCCGAGGATGGTTCAGCCAGAAGAAACTCAATCAACTTATATTGAGCTAAAACTATGGCAAGTTCTATTTGACGGATCTAATGCAGGAGGGTCCGCTAGAGCTGAAGTTGTTATCATTGGCCCGAAAGGGCAATATTGGCAAATTTCGTCACAATTGTCTGCAAGATCCACCAATAATAAGGCAGAGTATAAAGCCTTACTAATGACACTATGGTTTGTGGCGTCAAAAGAAGCAAATAGTGTCCAAATAAAAAGAGATTTTGAGTTGGTAATTCGCCCGGTGCTGGAAAAATTCCGCTGCAGGGAACCAAATCTGCAAAAGCTTTTGGTGGAGGTCAAAGCATTTCTAAATGTTTGATGAAGCCACGTTGGAGGACATCCTCAAGAAAGAAAATGTGGAAGCAAACAACTTGACATAGAAGGCTTCCGGATACCGGTAGAAATACTTTGTGTGCGCTACGAATATCGATCTAACAGATTGACGGAAAGAGTACCTACAGGGACTAGCATATACAAATATTGTGGCTTCTAGAAAATTGAAAGAGCGGTTACTTTGGTATGTCATCCAAGATGGAAAACTATTCGCAGAAGGCCGAATGGGACTTTTGCGATGCTTGGGACCTGCGTAAGCTAAGAAAGTGATGGCGGAAGTACATGAAGGTATCGCCGAGCTCATCGGAACGGGACAAACATGAGGTGGACTATTTTTCGCTATGGGTATTCCTGACCTCAATCTCTAGAGATTGCGTGGAATACACTCGCAGTTGTGATGTATATCAGCACCATGGACCAGTCCGGGGGATTCCAATGGAGGAGCTGCATTCTATTGTGAAATTACGGCCTTTCAGTGCTTGGGCCATGGATATTATTGGAAAGATATATCCGCCATCATTCAAGGGTCACTCGTTCATCTTAGTGGCCATAAACTATTTTACGAAGTGGGTGGAAATAGTGTCATTGGTCCAAGTCCGCCAGAACCATGTGATCAAATTCATCAAAACCTTATTCATCGATTCGGCATTCCACAATTAATTACTACTGATTAGGGAACGATTTTCACCTACGGACGAGTAAAATCCTTTGTTGCTCAATATGGGATCAATATTTTACATTCCACACCGTATTATCACACCATTTATCTGAAAGCGAATGGATAAGCAGAGGTTAGAAATAAAGTATTAATAGCCTTGGTGAAAAAATCATTGGAGGATACCCGCGGGATTGACATGAGATGTTTGAAAAAGTGTTATGGGCATACCATAATGTGAAGTCCTCGGTAACTAAAAGCACCCTATTTCGGTTAACTTATAGACACGATGTAGTGTTGTCCACGGAGATAACAGTTCCATTATTTCGGATAATCAAGCAGAATCAGCTACCAATGGAAGAAATTAATTCTACCTTATGTCAAGAATTGGACTTTCTACCTGAAAAAAATTTATAAGATCTGGAACACATCCGAATAAGAAAGAAGCAAACCGAGAAGAAATTTAATAAGCATGTTCGGCCCATCTCCTTCCAGGAAGGTAACTTGGTTTAAATTCATTCTACCAAAATATGCCAAGGACGCCAAATTTGGGAAATGGTCTTCTAACTGTGAAGGGCCATATATAATTTCATCCAAGTGGTTAAATGGTGCATATAAGATAATGGACCTGATGGAAAGGAATTCAATATAACCATGAATGGAAAATTCTTAAAGAAATTTTACCATTCCGTATGGGAATATATGGCTTAAAAGGCATATGCATTCAAAAGATAGTAAAAAACAAAATGTATCTAAGGGCAAAATAAAAATCAAAGTTTTAATAAGTGTTTTGGGAAGAAAAGTTATCATTCGGTGGTGGAAGACGAATCTTGAGAAGTGGTGCCAGTGGCTAATGTTTCAAGGGTTGTGCAAGCGGATCGTCAAGAGTGGCGGAGGATGTGGCCGGAGCATAAGCAGGTTCTGTAATTTCCGCAGCCGCATTGTCAGACAGGATTGGAGCAGGAGGATCAGCATTGGGGTTCTCCGGAAGAGTGGACTGCAGCTCACTCAGAATGAAGATGATCACGTTGGTGGAATCAGCAGCTAGATTAGTGGAAGGACCTGCTCCACCGGAGGGTTCGGCTGCATCAGTAGTTTTCAGTGACATCCAGATGGCGGTTATCTTGTCCCAAGGCTCCTGCAATTTCTTCAACCTGCGAGTTGTTTTATCCAAGTTCTTCTCAAAGAGAACTTTCTTTTGGAGGAGGTTAGAAAGTGAGATTTAACTTTTTAGCGCTCTCAAATAGGTCCGCTTGAAGAGCAGTGCGGTTGGACAATGTTTGATCTAGCTGGGAAATGCAGACAGGGAACTCTTTTAGTCTCTATGGGATTGTTTCCACTTCAGCTTGAAGGAACTCTTGCTCGCCTTAAGAGCTTTGACCTCCGATTCCTCCTCAGAAAATTTATGGCGTTCCTTAGTGAGTAAGGATATGTTCATGCTTTTATATTGTTCTAGAGTAGAAAGACGATCCATCTTTCAGCTGATTATCATCCTAAAGAGTGAGAAGAAATTCGGACTTGTCCGCCACGTCCCCTACTCGGTCTACCAGACCTTCAAGAATAGAGAGATGCTTCGGGTCACTAGTCGTAAGCTTTGGGATCATGCGAAGCAAGAACGTTTGGATGAACTTGAAGGTTTGCGGACTGGATAATAGACTTTCTAGTAAGGTGTCAAGGGGGTCCTTAGGGCCAAACAACGCTGGGGCAGGGTTTGAGCCAAACACTAGGACATCTTCAACATCCGAGGTAGGAACGGTCTCATCATCCGAATGCTCACCTACTAACTTTATCAAATAGGTAGTTGGTCTCTCTAGCAATAACCAGGCGTCAATATCTGCCCACCATTCCTCGAATGATGGTGTGACGATTGGTTGAAATTGATGAGTGAAAAATGCCAAGGCGCCACCGTGGCAGATCAACAGAAGAGATGTCTTTAAGGATTACAATCGGTGGTGAAAGCAGATAACCAGAAATTATGAAGGAGAGTGGAAGATTGGCCCAAGATGGAGCCCATGCAAAAGGAAGAAGTAGCCCAAACGTGGCGGGAGAACCCACCAGTGTTTGTTAATGAAAAATACAAAAACACTATTGTATTTGTTGGACTTTGGGCAAGTACATCAACGGTATCTTCATATTCATATTGGCGATAATTTTAAGTTTAATAGTACATATAATTAATTATAATAAAAATAGTTATAAAGATTATACTAACATATAATTATGTTTTTTTTTTTTTTTTCTGTCAGGAAAGTTTGAATAATGTCTTAGTAAAAGAATAATCAATATTTTAAATCATAAGAGTTTTTTTCTCTTTACATTCAATTTTAATTTTTTTACCATATAATTTTTCATAAAAAAATATAATCTTTCGTTATAAAATATCAAATCAAAATACTACTATCTGTTCGTTTGCAAAGAACATTGTCCTCCTCCTTGAACAATATCATATCATCGAACCCTAAACCACCGTTGTAAAATACTTACAACAAGCTTAAATTCGATATCTTCATCTATCATAACGTTCGACTAAAAATGGTTTAAACGTCATCAAAACCCCGATTGCTTCGATAATATTCAGGACAAAGAAAACCATCAGATCGCCTGCAATAAACCAAACATATATAACATGTACTTAAATCAATCGTAATCATTCAAAGTAAACATGTGTTCGTAGAATCTACCCGGAAGAAAACTAGCTTCTTGTCGAGTTTGTGCCCAAGAAAATCTGCAAAAGAAAAGAAAAACCGGCGAACAATGTCAGCAGTACAACAAAATCGATTATCGCCTCATTCATGCGGGGACTTATAACATAACATCATTTGTCTTTTAACCAGATAGGCTGGTGTAAACACATCATCGAATCGTTGTAAGAAGGATCAAAGACGACGACGACTCACATAGTCCCTCCTCCGGCTGGACCGATAGCCTTGAAAAGCGACATTAGCGTCATCGCGATACCATTGGCAGCTCCTCTCTGGTCTTGATCCTGAGAATTTTTCAAGATTTTAGTTCGAATCGGAATTTTAAACTCGTATTGTTTCTTCCATAGCTGACTTAATTACCACAGCTCTATTTTGCAAGATGAACAGTCCTGTAACAATGGAGATCTGCAAGAAAGCGAACATACAACGTAAGAAAAAATGTCGACGTAAATCCGATGACGATACCGGCAATGTTGTCATGTATGTACCGAGAGAACGTTCTTCAACAGGGAGGCGCAGTTGAGCACGATGGAGAGCGCGATCCCGTTCAGCTTTGCTATGTAGTGATAGCTTGTCAATAGAGGAATCGAAATTATCTGCGACGAGAGGACAACATTGAATAATCGTAACGTGTTTTAAAAAGTCCCGTGTCAATATCACATCTCCGCTTACTCCGAAAATTCGACAGAGTGCTACGGGGCCGAAGATCCTCTCGACGAGTGGATACAATGACGACTGAAACACTAACAATCCGACGCCTGAATTTTCGAGGAACCATCGTGTTACCGATCAAACGATGAGAATTAAGAGATCGTAAAAATTTTGAAGTTGATCGAACATACCGGAGATCGAAAGAACCGTTCCAACATCCTCGGTTGTATAGCTTAGGCCTCCGAGTCTTCGGGGGCTCTCTGCCCACAACGAAAAGATCTGCCCAACGGAACCGCAGTTATAATTCGAAACATTTTTGCACATTTAGATTTACAGTTTTGAAAACGAACGCAATCGAAAGAATATACCTCGGTGTAAGCCATGTCATGAAGAGAGAAAATGCAATAAACAACGATGGACGACATAAGGGGCCAGTTTTTAAGAAGGTTTTCTTTTGGAGAACTTTTCCTCGGCTGGTCTTTGGTCTCTATGGCGTCATCGAATCCTTGAATTGTGACTTCCAAAGTATCGTATGAGTTCTGTGCGGACAGCTGGTTCGTCGTCGGGTGCAAGTGCAAGGTTTCCTACATTCATCAAGATTCAATAAATACTATCATTTTAAGGTTTTTTGTGTCTTAACTAGAGAATCGATGGCTCAAAACATACCGGGATCCAGAAGCAAGCGAGAGAGACGATAGCTGCGAAAATTGAAGTAATCAAGCATGGTAGGAAGTATGGAAATCTACAAAAGAAGTCGACTCGATGAGAAACCACAATAACAGATAAAGCTGGCAATGGGTCGATTTGTGTTGAGTTCGTTTCGGGTCAAATACTTTAAACGGGTTAAATTACTCAACTTTAACCCAACCCGTTCATTATCGGGTCGGGTTCGTGTTGACCCGTTTATTATTGTGTCAAATTCGTGTCAACCCATATACATAATCGGGTTGAAATCTTTGACCCAAACTCAATTACTTCGTATCAGGTCAGGTTTTGCTAGCTCTAATAGCAGAGTGTATAAACAAACGTGCAAATGAGGAAATAAAGAAGCACCTCGCAAATAGCGAATCTGATGCAAATATTCCCGGAAACTTATCTGCAGGCTTCATCCGAGTATTATCCACAACAACGTTAGAGCGATCATTCGGACAAATAAGGTGTAATCCTTATTACAATATACATACCTGAGCAAGATAGCCTCCCAAAGCCGGTCCGACGATGAGTCCTGTGCCCCAAGCTGTACTAACCTGTGCGATTTTCATGCTCAATGTTGGTAATCCTATCACCTCGGATGTATTACAAAGCCTTACAAGCTACAAGACATGTAATAACTTCTTACCGCAGACAATCCTAGCGCTTGGTACTCGTCCCGGACCAGTTCGCACGCATATGCCTGGTCGTGTAGTGAAGCTAAATAAGTGTCAAACATTGGTATGTATCACTAAAAGAGCTGTCTTGGAAGGACATACCTTTATAGGTCCGAGTAAACCGTTCAAACATCCGAGGAGAAACCTTGACACGAGAGCCATCCAAAAGTTTACACTAAGTCCAAACAGAGTATTGAACACTACCCTGTAAGAAAAGCAAAGTTAGAAACATCGTTAGATATGAAGTTGCATTGTGTGTAAAAAGAAACATGATTCGATCGATCACTAACACGGCGGCGCAGCCTACGATTATTACAAGCTTCCGGCCATATCGATCTGCAATAGCTCCCCAAATGACGGACGTCAAAGCCCTTCCAAGCATGTAAGAAGATCCTTAACAAATTGAAATCCAAGTTAAGAAAACAAACACTAGAATGAGACATTCATTAGCTAGTCGTCGACAAGATTAAGAAAATTCAATTCGAGGATCAACCTACAAAACCGGCATAATAACCAATGTCTTCTTCTCTTTTGGCAATGCCGAAGTCCCTTATCTGCACCCAGAAATGAACTCTTACACGGCATATAACTAAACTATAGATCATGTTTGGATTTCATCAATTTTATTGCAAGAATTTAACATCGTACATTGTTCTTAACACAGCCTCTGTTCTAATTCATGATTCACTGTATTGTAATGAAAAGTTTCGACTACTTACCATGAAATAAATGAATGGAAAGAGAGACGATATCGTCAGAGCTGTAATGAACAAGAATGAATTAATACAGCAGAGTAAGAGAAAAATCTAACCAAGAATCATGAAGCAACCGAACCTAATTATGTGGACAAAACGACTGTTTCATTATCATTACCAAACAAAATGACACAAAATTATGCTCCGACAATCTTACAGCTATCCGCCATGGGAGGAAACTGCGAAAAGAATCTGAAACTATGTTTTTTCCTCTTTCTAATTCAAATCATTACAAACAGATCAATTTCATTACAGCCTAAGATGTTCCCCTTCAAGATTTATCCAAAAGCCCTATCGAAATCGAACAGACAGACATCACGCCCAAAAATCCCCTGCATGTCTGAGAAGAACACTAGACAGGCAGGAACCCTAGAAATCTTACATTGTAGCTTCGATTGTGTAAGAAATGGAATGAATCAATTAATTAATTACCAGTGGAAAGAACAATAATCCATACTATGAGAACTTCCTTTATCGGCAAGCCTCTATGGATGTCTTTGCGGCGATCGACTTTGCATCCTGGGCAGCCTTCCACGTAGTAATCTTTCTGCAGCAGTGTCTGTGTCTCCGCGTACTCCTGCTCCCGCAGGTTGCTGTCCCCTTCCGCCATTGTTGTCATGTTTTTGGAGTGTTCCTTGGTGCGTCAATTGATTAATGTTATTATTACAGCACCCAGCCGCCTCCCTTTATAAATGAATATTCTTACCACATCAATAAATTAAATTTCTAAGGAACGAACTCAAATTAACAAATGCACGACGAACAAAGTTGATTTCGTTCGTTCTTCTTGGAAAGAAGACGACAAAATTTGATAGACGAAAGTTGCTCGCCGTCGATGACTTGCCTTCCTATTGCTCGCCGTCGATGACTTGCCTTCCTATTTTGCAGAGTTACTTACATTAATTACATTTTAAAACAAACCCACACCACAAACACACGCATATGTATGTACATATATAGAGAAAATTTACTATTTATTTCTTTATTTATAATAAATTTTTTTTAAATAATATCCCATTAAATATATACATTTTTTTTATATAAAAATACTCTCATATTATGTGTGTTGCATAATTTGTAGTATAAGTTTTCAAAAGTTACTCTCCCTCCCATCGAATGTTATCTTATCTTATACTTCCTCCGTTCCACTGGAATTGAACCATTTGATTAGGAACACGGTATTTAAAGTAAGGATGTTTAATTAGTTAATAATAATTAGTTATGATATTATTATATTATTTTTGTATAATTAATAATATTTATAGTTTTAAAATAAATTTAATATATATGATTAAAAAAATTTTAATATATGTTTAAATATTTAAAAATTATATAGCAATTAAAAAATATATGGAATATGGATATCATTTTGTAGAGAATAAAATCTTCTATAATACAAGTAAATATAAAAAAAAATTGTTTATTTATAATTAATATAAATTAATTTTATAAAAGATGTGTAGTTTTAAATATAGATAAAAATATTTATTTTTTTGAAGAGAGATAAAAATAAAGAGGTTTTGAGTGGGTCCTACGTCATCTATGATGTTGTATGTTATGTAGTTAATTAAGTTGATTTATATTTGTTAAATATGTTTTGGTTTAGTAATTTTTACCAAAAATAGAAATATGTCAATTGTTACGAGACAGACAAAAATGAAAATAGTGTCGATTGTAGTGGACAGAAAGAGTATATATTTATATTTGAACTCAGTGTAGGATCCACCGAAATATAAAATTTGAATTTTTAAAATTTTTGAATTTTTTTTCTTTAATTTTAATTGACTATAACATTTAATTGATTATGGTAAATATATAGCCCACGGGAGGGGATCTTCAGCACCACCCCTCCTCATGTGGGGCAGTGAAAGAGTGATGTTGAGGATCCCTCCTCGTGGCCCACATCTCTTTCTCTTTTGGTTTATTTAATACAATCTATTTAATTTTTATTTTTAATAATTTTTTCTTTTTTGATTTATTTAATACAATCTATTTAATTTTTATTTTTAATAATTTTTTGTGCATGTGGATTTATAAAATTGTGTAACGTAGATACAAAAAATTGATTCTTAACATAATTAAATTTTATCGATAGCTTGATATAATGTTTTATTATTATATTTAAATATTGTAAAATCAATTTGAATATTTATTATATATTATCTTTATGTTATCAAATTATTATTACTATATATATTTGAGAGGTTAAAGAGCTTATATCTTTAAAATAGTGTATGTATAGTTTACATAATTTTTATTAATTGAATTATCTGTTGTGAAAAAAATATATCGCCAATCATATGATATATAAATTTAAAATTGTATTATAATAGAAATAAAAAATAAATATATCAATTATATTTATTAATAGAAATGAATTTTTTCTGGATAGTTAATTCATATGATTTTAATAATTTAAAAGCAAAAACATATTTATAAAGAATATAAACAATTAATTATTGTCTTTTAATTATTTTAAATGATATAATTATACATATGTGACATAGGTAGTTATATATAGCAACAAATTGTAGATCTGATTTTGGTATGATAGTTTAGTTTTAAATCATTTTTTTCTTTTATATCTTAATTTTGTTATGTTTTTTATTTCTTTTTTAATCTAAGAACTCTTTTTTTTTTTTTTTTTTTTTTGCATATTTCATTTGGGTGAGTTTTGTTAGTATTGGTTCTTGGAGTTGATTTGTTTGATGATCTTGGTTTCATAGCTTAAATTTAAATTTGTTTGAATTAAAAATATTTATATGAGTATTGAGATGGATTCAATAAATTAATTGCTAAATATCCTAACATCAGATATTTGAGCAACTTCTAATTTTATATTTTTTATAAAGGACTAACTTCTATTAACGGGAGGATAATCAATGCTATCAGTTGAGGAGCTCTCATGAACAAGAAACAACCTTGGGAATTGCTAAATAACATAACCATAAACTCTCAACAATATGGGCCAAGGGATGTCACGGGAGTGAAAGAAGTTGCCAAGATAAGTTTTTCTATGCAACAACAATTTAATGAATTAACTGTTTTTGTGAGGAAAAGAAAAAATTGTTGTAAGAAACGCTTAAGTGAAGCCTTGTGGAATTTGTACGAGTGTTACACATCCTACAGATGCTTGTCCTACATTGAAAAAAAAAAGAAAAAGTGGAAGCGAATGCGGCAGAATTTGCACCGAGAAAAACTTATGACCTCTATTTGAGTACATTCAATCCGGGATGGAGAGACCACTCCAATTATCGATATGAGAAGCAACAATCCTATGACCCCTATTACTGTTTGCACACTAATCCAGCCCAAACTTGGATGTCTGGTTTTGGGGGAGATTAAAATTTTTTATAATACAAATAAATAAAATTTTAGAAATATATATGTAGATATAATATAAATTTATAATTAAATTATACAAATTAATACACATTTATATTATTACATTCATTACCATTAAATCAATACACATCAGAACTCTCTAAACTCAACTCAAACACAAAAGAAACACATAAATTCAAACTTACTTCAAAATTCAAATAAAAATCAAATCCAAACTCAAATTTTTCCGAACATCTATAAAGAAACACACCCTAAATGATTATACACATACAAACAATTTGTATTGGTAACACAAAAGAACATAAGTTAACACACATAGAATTTCTATGTTTTTGGAACCTAAGCAACTCTCAACCGAACATAATGACCTATAAAGTAGGTCGGTAGCATGAAAGTGATTGAAAATTTAAATTCATAACTTTATAATTATAAATTCACCTTCGTACCATTAAACAATCTCTTATGAAATTACATAAATTCTATTTGCTTCGTTGAATTTGAGTTTAGATGTGATATTTCAAAAATAAAATTAATTTTTAATATAATATTTTAAAAAATAAATATTTCATTTAATATTTTTTGAATAAATTTTTTTATGAATACCAAAAAATATTTGGGTAAAAAGTATGTTGGTTTCTTTTTTCACTTTCTCGATTCTACTTTTTTTTTTTTTTTTTTCAAACTTGTAAAGTCATAGTACATTTTATTACAAGGTTCTATAGGGAAATCAAAAAAGTAAAAATCACGTCTTACATTAAAAACCACCTTTAAAGATAATCAAATTATGATTAATAAAATTAATCAACTGTTGTGGACAGAATCAAATAATATATATATATATATAAAGATGACAAATTATTTAATATTTTCACCTAAAAATATGACATTAATCTAAGGGTTGTTCATTAGCTATATTATTTGTCATTTTCTATCGTTTAAATATAAAATATATATATATATATATATTTGTAAATATAGATCCTATTATATATAATACAAATACTATAAAAATATATTTTTATTTATATCAATATTAATATCAGATTAAAATACAAAAACAAATAATCTTTATATATATAAATATATAACCAATTATTATTAACATATAGGGTTTGTTTGTTTGGGAGTTTGGATTTTGAATTGAGATTTGAATAATAAAAATTTTGAATTTGAATAATTGTATGATGTGATATAAATAGGTGTTGATGTGATATTTTGAATGTAAAATTAATTTTTAGTATAATATAAAAAATAAAAAATCGGTGTTTAATTTGATATTTTTTAAAAAAAAAAAAAAAAAAAAAAAAGGATGAACAATGGATTTAAAATCCAATCCCAGAGACAAACACACCCATAATATTCCTTAATCTGTAAAGAATAAGTGAATACTTCTCGAGTAGACAAAAGAAGTGTATAAAATATAATCATAGCATAATAGTAATAAATATTATTGTGTCAAACTAAAATACACGATCCAAAATGAATTCTCTAATTATAAAAAAAATAAAATAATAATAATAAAAATAATAAATAATAAATAAATAAATAAATAAAATTGTGTTGTCAAGTTTAATAAACATTTATGACTAGTCCATTTTAATAAATACTAATATAGTTGGAGGGTCAAATTCAATTTGAAGTTCCTTTTCCAAATGGATGCCTAAAAGTTAAGGTAGTGTATGGTTATTATTATTATTATAAGGTTGGAAAATAATACTCCCTCTTTCTCTCCGTCCATAACAAAGTATCCATTTTTCCATTTTAGTCCGTCCCATAACAAAGTATCAATTTCTTTTTTTATAACTGTACTATCTACCTAACATTACAAATATCCTTACAACTTACAATATATTACACAAATGTCATTACTTTTATATCACGCATACTAACAAGGTTATTTTAGTCATTTCTATTTTATTCCCACTATATCTCAATATAATACTAATATTTTTAAAATTACGTGCAAAAGACAAATGAATACTTCTTTTGGAACGAAGGAGTAATAATAATAATAAAAAATGATGAGCATAAAATAAAGCATAAGTCAGATTCCACATTTTGAAATTCTTTTATTATATTTGTGGAAGGAGAATTACAAATTGAATTTGGTACTGAGTCAATACTCAATGTCAAGAATCATATAAATATTATAATGTGTTTGTTTGGGGGATTGGATTTAATTTTCACTTTTCATCCCATTTTTTTCCCTCAAAAAATATTAAATCAAACACCTATTTTTTATTTTTTATATTATACTAAAAATTAATTTTATATTCAAAAGATCACATCAACACCTATTTATATCACATCATACCACTATTAAAATTCAAAATTTTTACTATTCAAATCCCAACTCAAAATCCAAACCCCCGAACAAACACACCCGTAAAATTAAAATAATTGCCACAATTTTGTATATAAATATAATGGATGCGTTTGATGTGTGTTTAAATAATTATTCGATACGATTTTTTTATAAATAATACTAATAAATATATTTTATAAAAATGTAGAATTATATAATAAAAAAAAAAAAAAAAAAAAAAGACCTTGAAATAACAAAGTTTGATTCGCGAATTGGACTAAGAATTAAAAAATTCAACAATATGGATTATTGAAACAGTACAATAAAATTATTTTGTGGTTTAATACTATAGTTTTACATGTCATCGAACTTATCGGGTTTATAACACAAAAAAGGAAAAAAAAAAATATATGACACGATTTTTAATAAATTTATGTATTTTTTATTATTAATTTTTACTTTTTATGATAAAAAAATTACTCTATTTTCTATTTTCGTTTTTTTCATATTATTTATTTTTTAAAAAAATAAAATAAATTATAAATTTTAATTATATTTTAAAAAATTCATAAACAATAATATTTTTAATTAAATTAAATTAAATTAAATGAATTGATTAGTTTAATCTTAATCGTAATTTTACTCTATAATTATTTATATTATATAAAATTATTTTTTTTTATCATTTTTATTTATGTTATGTAAAAGTATTTATTATTATTATAATAAAATTAATCATAAATTATGATGTCATATTCCGTTTGTTTGTAGGTTTTTATCAAAATTTTATATATATATAAAAAAAATAAAACTATCAAAATATCAAAGTAAATGGAGTATTTCTTTTTTTATTATTATTATTTTTAATTATATTAAATATTAATTTTATATTTAAAATATTATATCCCTACATTGTTATGGTATCTTATTAAGGTCATAGTATTTTTTTGTGTGTGTTTTCTCGGCCGTAAGGGTAAAATTTAGGGGTGGAAAAAAAAATCGAACTGAATCGAATCGAATTTACGGTTAATTGAGCAAATTCGGTTCGAATACAAATACTGCATATTTGATATTTGTTCGATTCGGTTAATCGAACGGAATATATTTATTTATTTATGTTATTATATTTTAAATTTTATATTAAAAATTATATTCGGTTCAGTTACGGTTCGGATATTTGAAATATTTTGTAAAAATTTTGATTTAATTAGAATTTAAATTATTTTTGATATATTATTTTTAAATTTCGATTCGATTCGAATTATTTGCAAAAATTACAAATATTTTCGATTAATCGAAAATTCAATTAACCGAAATTTTTGATTCGAATACGGTTCGCAATTTTAAGTATATGTTCAGTTCGGTTCGAATATCAAATACATGTATATTCACAAATATCCGAAGCGTGTCCACCCCTAGAAAAATATGGTATTTGTGCCTATCAATTGAATGGAGCATATGAGTAACTCACATAACATCAAATTAATTTAGGAGATTGCCGTATGGACCTTTTGTGTGTGGCCCCACCGTTGCACACCAGCTTGGACCAGGCACCTAACATATATATTATAACATATAAATGGAAGTTTTGTAGCTTTGCCACTTAAATTGACAATGTTACCCTTTAACCTATAAAAAAATAACATATAAATGGAAGTTTTGCCGTGATCGCCCCGTCGTTGTTTATCCATCCTTTAACTTTTCACCTTATATAAAAATTTTTATTTTATAATTTAATTACGTTATAAAATTTAAAAAATATTATAACTAATTATTAATTATAAAATACGTCCCACCATAATTGACACTATTTTTATTTTTGTCTGTCCCGTAATAATTGACATATTTCTATTTTTGGTAAAAATTATTAAATAAAAAACATATTTAACAAATATAAATCAACTTAATTAACTACATAACATATAACATCATAAATGACGTATGACCTACTCAAAACCCCTTTATTTCTATTTTTCTTTAAAAAATAAATATTTTTATCTATATTTCATTTTTGTCTGTCCCGTAATAATTGACACATTTCTATTTTTGGTAAAAATTAAACAAATATAAATCAACTTAATTAATTACATAACATATAATATCATAAATGACGTATGACCCATTCAAAACCCCTTTATTTCTATTTTTCTTTTAAAAATAAATATTTTTATCTATATTTAAAACTACACATCTTTTATAAAATTGATTTATGTTAATTATAAATAGAAAAATATTTTTGTATTTACTTATATTATAGAAAATTTTATTCTCTACAAAATGATATTTATATTACATATATTTTTTAATTTCTATATAATTTTTAAATATTTAAATATATATTTTGATTTTTTAATCATATATATTAAATTTACTTTAAAACTATAAATATTATTAATTATATAAAAAATAATATCATAACTAATTATTATTAACTAATTAAACATCCTTATCTTAAATAATATGCCCATAATCAAAGGATTCAATTTCGGTGGGAAGGACGGAGTATAATTTTTGTATAATTAAATATAGATAAAGTAATACTCTTGCCGTCCAGCTAGAAAATATACATATTTCTATTTTTGGGCGTCCAATTACAAAATAAACATTTTATTAAATACTTCACTTTTTTTCACAAATATTCTTACTTTACATCACATCATTACTTTTACACCAAAAAATAAGGGCAAAAATGTCATTTTACTACTTTTAATTATCCACTATAATTAAAATACTACTATTATTTCTTAAACACAGCGCCAAAAGTAAATGTTTACTTTGCGTGTGGACGGAGGAAGTATATAATATTAGAAATATACTAGTATATATATAAATAGATACAAATGGAAAAACATTATAGTACTCCCTCCTTCGCACATATCATGTTCATCTTGCTGTTTTTGTTCGTTCCACATACCATGTCATTTTCTTTTTTTGAAAAATGATTACACACTTTAATCTCATTTTAAACTTTTTAATTTTATTTTTTTAAAATTTTAATTAAACTAATTAGTTATCTTAATCTTAATTTATAATTATTTATATTATAAGATAATTATTTTCACTAATACATTCTTAATTATCTACTAATTACATCCTTTTTAAAATATCGTATCTATATTGTAGCAGACACGCGGAGGTAGTATTTTATTTAATATATATTACAATTTTTTAAATATTTATAAACAATTGTGTGAAATAAAAAAAAAAAAAAAATACACTATGTGAACAAATCTTAATCTAAAGTAAAATAATCAATACACATAAGGTTTCTTTCTTAGGGGAGTGGATTTTTTTTGGTGGAGTTTGGGAAAAAATGGTTTGAATTTGGTATTAAAATAATATTCGATTGAATATTTTGTGAAAGAAAAAATATATAGTATTTCTTTTCGAAAAATACAGTTTGGAGAAATTTGATTAAAGAAAAGATATCCAAAAATGAATATCTCTACTACATTTTATATTATTTTCTCTCTCTGTCACATCTAGATACTCACTTTTATTTTATCCTCGCAACAAAAAACTCATCCCAATTTTTTTGTTAATTTTTATTCTCATATTTATATATATATACATATATTAATTTTTAATTATATTTTTTTATTTTAAATTAATTTTAATATAATTTTATATTATATAATTGTGTTAAAATTTATAATTATATTTTACTCAATGAATTAAATAATTTTTTAATATTAATTAGTTTAATAAAATTAAATAATTTGTATTTATATTTTTAAAAAATTTAAATTAATAAAAATATATGTTCAATATTGGTATTATTTTGTAAAATAAAAATATAATAATAACTTCAATATAAATTAAAAAAACAAAATACATATAGTATATACATCATATATGTGTTGTCATGTGTCCCAAAGAGTTGCTCTTAGTATATATTTAGATGAAACCATTCCATAAATATTATTAAAAATATACAATATATACATTAATACAATTTAGTAATTAGTAAATATCAAAAAATATATTAGTAAAATAATTATGATTTAATAAAAATAATTGTAGATTAAAATTAAAATGACTAAATAGTTTAATTAAAATTTAAAAAATATAAATTATAAATTTTATAATATGATTAAAGTGTATGATTATATTTTTTTTAAAAAATGATATTATATGAACAAACGAAAATAAAAATATGAGACAAATTAAGTAAGACAACCAATATACTCCCTCCATCGTTCAAATTTATACTCTTTTTTTTTGTCGTCCAAAAATATTTTTAAGTAAAAAATAATTCCACTTTTGTATTTATTTTTATTATAAAAAAATTAATAATTATTATTCACTTTTATTAAAACTCGTGTGTGATCAAATAAGCAGACGTTTGCCTGACGAAAAGAGTACTACTTTCTCTAAATTGAAATATTTATATTTAAATAACATTTGGTATAATATTTTATAAAAAAATACTATCATTTAAATAGTAAAAATTTAACCAAAAATAAAAATAAAAACACACCCACAACAATTTAAATAAAAATAAATATAATTTTCTATTAAAATTTCAAGAATAATTATTTTTGAATATAAATTCCAAAAATCTAATTAAAAATAATTACAATAATTTTAATCTCGAAAAAGCATCAAAGCATTGCACGACCAGTCCAGTCCAGTCCAGTCCTGCCACTCTTCCCTGAATCATAATTCTGTGCACGGCACTGCACTGCAACCCCCAAAATACTCTTTTTTCAGACCACTCCACTCATCATGTTTCTATTCATCATTTACAGACAACAACGTAAAGCAAAACTGTTGCAAATTACTCCCATGGGAATCCTATGTTAGAGAGAGAGAGAAAGAGAGAGAGAGAGTAGACACCAAATATATTATAAATAAATTAAAACCCAATTTTACATAGCCCCAACCCAACCCAACCCAACCCAAAACTACTACTAATATAAAATAAAAACCAATTTTACAAAGCCCCAAATTCCAATCCAAACAATTGAAATGCATTCCCTAACAATCATATAATACTCTTAACAAATTCATGCATGAAAATTAACCAATGGATGAATATAACACATTATAAACACTGCTCTCTATCTTCGTCGTCCAAATCTATAGGAGGAGATGGGAAGAGGATGAACTCACATCATCTAAGAAAGGGAGACTTTGAAAGAGAGACCAATCTTGTTCCTCAACTCAAACCTGCAATAATCCCCAGGTTTCACAGACTTTTCACGGAAGAATTTCACCAAACCTCTCGTGATTCCGATTTTTTTCGCAGCCAGCGTCAGGCCCACACGCCACGGCTCCTTTCCCAGCCATATTGTAGCCGAGGCTCCTGAGGCCGATTCAAGTCGACTCATGTGGACCATCCAGAATTCTCTTGGTATTGGCTGCAACAATGTCGAACAGATTCAAATTAAATATACAATGCAAGTGAATGTAACATATAACGATTAATTTGGTGTGCTCTACGCAGATTTTAAGCTAATATGAACATTGTCGTACAAGGGCATCTGTATGTTCGCAAGCACTTGTTAGAATAGCCACAATTAAAGCATATATCGACGTATCCATATAGTTTGCAATTACTTATACAGAGCTGCGTAACAATGAGCTTACCACGAAACCTTTCCGGATGCAGTTTTTAGTGAGCATCACTGAGAATGAAGGGTTGCTCCCCCTGGTTTCTCTCGGCAGAGATTCGGGTGGGACATTTCTTTCCGTAGCACGACTATGATCGCTATTTTCTGCATAAATCAATATGTTATATGGAAATGATTGAAAAATTGAAGATATGTTTAGTAGAGGTGCTAACCAGGTTCAGATTCAGATTCAGATTCAGATTCAGGTTCAGGGTCAGGGTCAGATTCAGATTCAGTTTCAGTTTCAGTTTCAGGTTCAGGTTCAGGTTCAGGTTCAGGTTCAGGTTCAGATTCAGATTCAGATTCAGATTCCACTTGTGTGTCTTCGACAGATTCTTCATCATCCATGCTTGTCTCAGTAATTCTCTTCCGGCAACCGTTTATTGCAAATATTTTTACAGAAAACACAGACTTTCCGAGATAAGAAAAGACTAGAAAATCACCATCTGCAACTGAGTTTTCTTGCACAAATTCTGGCCAGCCTTTTTCGAAGAACCACTGTCCACAAAGTTGATGCATATGAACTTGCCATGACCCTTCAGACGACGCTCTCAAGAAGACATTTGTGGGTATGTTTCTTCCAAATTTCTTGAGAAACTCGAGGGGGATTTTCTAATTGAAAAAGAAATTTTTATTAAATCTACCATGTTTAAATTAAATGCATCAAGAATATCAATCTAAACTATCACTGTGAGTTCTAAAACATACATATCAACATGGCTAAATTAAAAAATGAAGATTGTCTTCTTCCACATGAGTGAAAATCGAAAGCTTCACTTCCTATAATCAAATGATAATCCAGAGATAAGAGATAAAAAGTACCACGCTATTAGAACACGCAGCAGGTATATAGATTACGAAGAACTCGGGTATATCATTCCAGTCACGAGTTTCTTCACCTGATTCCGCCCTCCCTTTTCCTCTATCACCATCCTCACTACTGCATCAGTTAAAACCACCAAGATTAGAGTCATTGAAGAAACAAAATGCTCACTTTGATCAATTAACATAATAACAAATTTCGAACACAAAGGGGTATGACAAAGTTTGGAATTTCTGATATCGTATGGTCAATACACACATTGTTCGATCATTTAAACATCAAATCTAACTGCCAGTACACAATCACATCATCAACTGGCTGTTCAACAAGTGCATCCATATGCTGTGTAGCATATTCAAATCCCATTAGGATATGTAAAATCAGTCTAATACTCTAATTGACACAGAGACTGATGGAAGAATCGTATAATGGATAATTTCCACAAAGTTGTCTCCTACTTTCACATTATAACCAAAAAATAACACGTTTCAAATTAGAATGTGCTTAAAAACAATGAAGGCAATCCCAAATCTCTCTGAGTACACATGCCAATTTCAAGTGTGAACTTGCGACAATTAAGGGAAAAGTAGAACAATAAGTTGTCAAGAACAACCTAACGAGGTATGTATAAGCCATTAATTGCCCTACATATCAACACAAATACTTTTTAGTAAGATTTGTCCGTCACTCGAGCACACAATCGAAAATTTTCAAGAGGCCCCCTATCTTGAACCTACTCCAGCATTGAACAAGCACACATGCTTTAATCTAGAGTTCTTAGTTATGAGCTTCCAAAAAGAGATGTTCAATTCATGGAACTTCGGTGTATTACATAATCCCTCCTCAAATTCCTTTGGTTACCAAACAGATATCAAATTTCAAGGCTGTTCTTACTGTATCTCTCTTTGCTCTAATTTCACAGTAACCACAAAAATAACATAAAACGAAATACAATGGAAGATCAGCTGATATAAATTTTTTTGACTCTACAACAAACTCTGGGCTAATAAAACCCCAACAATCAATCCCTCTTACACAATAAAATACATATAAAACAATTATAATAACCAAAACAATCGCTGTACGAATTACGAAGATATGCCAAAGCAGGAAATAATTCTTTCAAGAAATAAAACCACTCCCAAAGCAACACCAACGGCAACGCACGCCCGATTTTCAAGACGATCGCAGACAAAGATATATATATATATATAATACATAATTAAAAAAATTAAATAACCCTAAATAGGAGACATTGCTTTGCTAATGAGTTTCTCATAGCAACAGTAGTGAGCGCATGTAAATTTGTGATTTGTTCTTCACAATTTTTAGTTCAATATTTTATTTCTGAAACAAAATTATCACATTGATACTAATCTTTCACACAAATCAATTTTGATCATTAAACCATTTTCACCAAAAAATAAAAAACTTTGAAAACAAAAACACAAACAGTCCATAATTCTACCCTACAATCATCAGTCCAAAAGAGAATAAATTATTTTTTTCGCGGCAAAACATGATATCAAAACAATGTACAAAAACCAAACACAAAAGAACGTATCCCTCTCTTGTGTTTCCAAGTCTACTTACAAATTGTTTGAGGTTTTCTTCCTTGGGCGCCCTCGCGCTCTCCCACGCCCCGGCTTCGCGTTCGCCATGCTCGCTCTTTTAAATTTTCACGCAAGATACCCTAAACCCTTTGGTTTTTGCCTCGTTGTTAAGACAACCGTCAGTCCAGCCTTCAAGCTAGACCTAGACTTGCCCATTCGGTTTCGAACCGTCGGTTCGAACCGCCGGTTTACGGTTTGAACCGGCGGTTTAGCTTTTTTGTTTTATCTCTCACCATGGCAGGGGCAGGCAGGCGCACAGAAAAGAAGAAAGAGAGGAAAGGAGGAGAAGGACCGAGGTTGGAAGGAAAAGGGAAAGAAATGAGAGGAACTGAGGAAGAAGGAAGGAAGAGGGAGAACCTGTTTGTGGGCGTCAGGCGCGGCTGCGGGCCTGCAGCGTCCGTGGAGTTGGGATGTGATGCTGAGTAGATATTAGGATTAAATTGTTGCATTTTATAATAATATTATTATATTTATAATTAAAATTTAAAATATAATAATAATACTCCATCTGTTCCGTAACAAAATATTTATTTTTTTATTTTAATCCGTCTTATAACAAAGTATCCATTTCTTTTTTTTTAATAACGGTACTATCTACTAACATTACAAATACTTATATCATATATACTAATAAGCTCATTTCTATTTTATTCATATTATATCCTAATATAATACTAATATTTCTAAAACTATGTATAAAAAGCAAATAGATATTTAGTTTCGGGATGAAAGGAATAATATTTTAATTATAGTAAATAATCAAAATAATATAAAGATGTATTTCAGTATAAAAATAATAATATGATAATAAAATAAAAAACATATTTTTTTAAATAATTATTTTTATAATAAAAGCGTCAAATGTGTTTGTTTGGATGTTTGAATTTTGAGTTAAAATTTAAATAGTAAAAATTTTGAATTTGAATAATTATATGGTGTGATATAAGTAGACGTTGATGTGATGTTTTAAATATAAAATTAATTTTTACTATAATATAAAACATAAAAAAATAAATATTTAATTTGATATTTTTAATAAAATAAAATGGAATAAACAGTTAATTTTAAATCTACTCCCCAAAGGATTTATGAATCTACAGAATAATTATTATTAAAACAATTAATTTCCTGTCGCGGTGCATGGCCATGCAAAGCACATGTGTCCGTAGTTGGACAAAATCTGTCAATCCCTATGCTTATCTATGTCCGAACAGTATCTGAATAATAGCTTTGACCAAAATGAGACTAGAGAAATAACTTCAATGTCAAATATTATTTTAATATCAAATTTAAATTATTTTTATTTTTAAATTACTCAAAAGAAATAAATTCATTTGTTATATAATAATAATTATTTTGTTAAATTTATTTTCACTTTTTCTTTTAGTTTATTTGTTAAATTTATTTCATTATTAATTTTAGCAAAGTTAATAAATCAACATTTAACTATTATCCTAAATTCAATACTTATTTACAACAAATGTCACTACCTTTCTACATTTTCTTTTCATTTTTTTTTAAATTTCTAATTTACTTTCCAAATATATATTCAACTACTTTTTTATTTTTATTATTTTTTAATAAAATATTTATTTTTCTTAATTTTCATGCCGGACCCAAATATTCTAACTTTTGCAAACGGAGAGAATAATATATACTATCTATATATCTATACTATATGTCGGTGTGATGTGTGTATACCAGTATATCACCTTGCCATGCACGGATGATTATATAGGATAATTTTTAATTTATATTTATATATTAAATAATGTTTTTTCAACCATAAAATTTTGATATGAAAATTGTCAAAATTAATTTATGAAAAAAAAAAAAACTATATGAAAGGTACGATGGTTTAATTAGTTAATAATAATGAATTATGATATTATTTTATTATATTTTTATATAAATAGTATTGTTATTAATTTTAAAATAAGAATGAATATATATGTATAAAAATAAATTTGAAATATGTGTTTAAATATTTTAAATATTATATCTCAATAAAATATATTCAATATAGATATCATTTAGTAGATAATAAAATTTAAATAATACAAGTAAATAAAAATATTTATTTATTTATCTATTTATAATTAAGATAAATTAATTTTATAAAAATAGTGAAATTTTAAATATAGATAAAAATATTTATTAATTAAAGTTTTGAGTGGGTCATGGATGTTATATATTATAAAATTAATTAAATTAATTTATATTTGTTAAATATGTATAAATTTAGTAAATTTTACCAAAACTAAAAACATACCAATTGAGGCCTACATATAAAAAAAATAAAAACATTGAAATGAGAAAAAAAATTAAATAATTATTCAAATTTAAAATTAATTTAACATATTTTTAAGAGTAAATTAATTTCAAATTTTAAATTCACTATTCACTTCTTACTTTCTTTCTTTCTTTTTTCCTTTTTTTTACCGAACAATCTAATCAATATTTATTTTTATATTATATTTAAATAAATTTGATATTTAAAGTTTTGGATATCATTTAATTGGTATTTATATTACATTAAATAATAATTTTATTTAAACTTTTATTATTTATAACGTAAATATATAATAAATTTTTAGGTTTTTTTTTTTGGTAAAAAATAAAATTTAAATTCAAATTTTCCTATTCACTAATTTTTTATTTCTAAAATATAAAATCAATTTTTTATTTTTTAAAATATTTTTGCTCTCCTTAATAATTTATTATTTTTTTATTTTGGTCCGTCTCATAATAAAATATCAATTTCTTTTTAGTAATTGTACTATCTACCTAACATTACAAATATCATTCAAATTTACAATATACAAATTATATTATCTTTATATCATACAATACCACTAAGTTTAATTTAGTCTTTTTACGTTTTATTTATATTTTATTCAAATATAATACTAATATTTTTAAAATTTCATATAAAAAGCAAATACAGACAAGTGGTTGTTTGGCTTCTGTTTTTTCTATATTACGTCTATTTTAAAAGTTGTATAATGTTATTATAAATAATATGTCGATTATATAGTTTTTGATGTCGTTTGAAATTTTTTCAATGAATATTAACATATTAGTGTATTACTGTGGAGTTATGATATGTTTTAATAAACAAAAATATATATATAGATATTGGGCAGATGGAGTAAGATTTTATCATTTAAAATTTCACTCTTTCGGGTAACCAGCGGCGGGTCCCACAATAAATAAAAAAATAAATATAAACAGTCAAATTAGCGTCGCTTGCACCGACGGAGGAAGCAGGATGGGCAGAGGTGCGAGAGGACGTCGTAGCAACGACGGCGCCGACGGCAGCGCGGAGTTCTTCAAAGTCTTTCTTCCTCACCGTTCGTCTGATCGACTTGTGAGGATCGCCGTTCTTAAACAATTAGTTTCTTATGTTTCTGACTCATCGATAGTACATATTATACTGCAAAACTCCGAGAGGGGTTTTCTCAATGACCAAGCTTTTCCTGTTAACTAACTCCCAGGCTGTCTCAGTCCTGTCGCCCTCTAATTTCACCATACACCGCGAGTATACAGTGCTTAAAAGCCATGCCCATGGATTTCTTGAATGTATGGAATTGAAGAAACTAGGGTTTTTGTTTGAGGCGGGAGAGCAATTGGCCCGTGATTCTGACAACGTTCACTGTGTTGAATTGTAATCTTGTTTTGAGGCACTACCATAAGCTTGTATCTACAGGGTTGAATTGTTTGTCCAGAAAATTTAGTAATTGACCCCCAATTCGATCATGAACATAAAATTCAAATAAAGACTGTGCAAACCTAGGTTCTGTTGAAATTGAATTAGGACAAGTTAGAAAAATAAAAAGTTTAGGTGGGTTAACCTATGGTAGCTGTTGTGCCAAAGAATATGTATACACTTGTTATGTTGTTATGCATTTTATTTCATAATATATGATAGTCACAGTTTTGCAAGTTTGATCTATTAATGAACTTTCATTGGCCTTTTGTGTGCTGAAAAAATCCATCTTTGCAGCTATTTAATCGAATCTTTTAACATGCTGTGTTGATTGATTTTGAGTAACTGGAGCAATCCTGATTCCTTTCTCAATGAGTTTGAATTCTGTCCTTTTGCAGCAAATCCCTCCAGATTTTGTCAAGAACTTCAGGAGAAAAATAAAGGAAAGAGTCATCCTGAAAGTGAAAAGTGGTCGAAAATGGTTCATAGAAGTTGAAAAAACTCGGAACGGAGTGTTCCTTACAAATGGATGGCAAAGCTTTGTTAGTGATCACTGCTTGAGACATGGGGAATTCTTGGTGTTTACACATGTGGGACCCTATACATTTATGGTCAAAGTATTCAGCCGAGGTGGATGCAAGATTGAACCTCTTCCCGCAAAGGAGATTCCCGTGACTATAAAAGTCGAAAAGGTTAAAGAGGAGATGGACTAGGAAAAGCCTCTTTGTAGTAGCTAGTGAAGGAACAAGAAGAAATTTTTGTGTCACTCAGTTTTAGGTGTTTTTGACTAATCTGAATAGCTAATGGTAGAAAATGAAAATGTATATATAATGTTGCAGATGTTTCTTAACAATGGGTAATGTCGGAATGCATATTATTTTCATTGCCAAGCAACCGTGGCCGTCATTTTACTGAAGCTGTTTATATTTACTTTGATCTGTAGCAACATGCTGCAATATATGCCTTTCAAAAAGGAATTACTAATGCAAAGAAATCCGTTCTGTTAACAATTCCATATGATTCCAGTGCGAAGACAGGCAGACACTCTACCTGCTGGACTATCAGCCAGAAGAACTCGTCTCGGAGGATTTGAGTACTGCATCCCGAGAAAGGTACAATACCTTACTAATTCCACCCAACTATGGACATGTTCTGTTCCTGAGGTTGATTGTTTGAACTACCTAGTAAGAGTAGGGTATTCATAGTTTCTCTGATAACATGATAACTTTCTTTCCCTGTTTCAGGAAACTTTGAGGACAACAAAGTTATTTGAGGCTGTTTACATCCCCCTAGAGAGAATAGATTACTGAACAAGCAGAGGTTAAGTGGTTCTCATTGTTAGTCGGATTGACATTTGCTATTCTGGCGTTTATGAAGCGACTCTAACGAAAATACAAATAATTGCTGTATCGCAAGCGTAAAATGGGCTTTGTTGGTGTTTTTGAAGAAATTAAGCAGTCCCTCAATAACTGCACATGATGAGACCATCTGCTGAAAATTTGTTAGGCTTGACACTAATTTGTTCCGCATTTGGAAGATGCCGCAGTTGAGTTATGGCAGCGATTGATTGCCCAGGGAAACAAGCAAAGGTATATTCCAAATCTGTGATGTGTGATTGTTTTTGTTATTTATGTATGTGCTTTGGCTTTGTAATGATCTCTGAGACATATGTGTTGTTATTGGATATTGCCTGTTTAGTGGATGAACTTTTAGCTTTCATTCATACATACTTGTGCACAAGTGAATGTAAATATACATTTCTTAAGGACCTACTTTTGATCCTTCCCTGATGTAAACTTATAGGTTGCATAAGCAGTGATTGCCATGACAACAAGCACTGCAACACCCATGTTTACGAGTAATTTTCTATCTTCATTTAACTCGCTGAGTCCTTGCACTGCTTTCTTGTATTTCTCCACTGTTAAAAAATTGTGATCAGCATGGCCTTTTGAATGAAGGGTTTGTTTTTCTTTTAAATCTCTGTTGTTTTCCGATGTTTTAGAGGTCTGCGGATCGCTCCTTATTTTCTCCTTCACAGTGGTCTCGCCCGCGGGTAATTCTTTATTTGTTTCTGAACTGTCATTCTTTTCCAGCTTCTTTGTTGCATCATTGGTTTGCTTTGGTGCTATGTGTGTTTCTCTTAATTTGTTGCTTTCTTGAGGAAGTACTTGCCCGACATTTCTAAATGGACTACTGCTCCTTGCATCTCTTGAATCATCCGGCTGGCCCTGTGTTGTTCTGAGATCAGCTGTTTTGTTTACTGCAGGTGGAGATTCATCTCGACCCTTTTGAGGAGTGGGCTGTTTTGGAGCTTCGGCTACGGCAGCTTTGGGAGGATGAACGTCGTGAGTCATGTCCGCACTTGTCTTCTTGACAGTGATGGTAAGAATCCCACCCTGGAACTTGGCACGGACTGAATTCATGTCACTGCCTCTAGGAACCTCATAGTCCTCGAGGAAACGGTTCCATTTATTGCCAGCTACCAGACGTTCCCCGCGAACCCTGATAACATCCCGGCCCTCTGTCGAGACCCTGAGCTGCTCCTTGGCGAATCCTAGCAGAAAAATTTCAGATTGTTGATCAGTAGGTACACTTACACCCTTCTGTTACAGGTAGACTGAATTGAAAACCGAGTTATAAGCACCAGGGAGATAGATATTGAGGATATTCGATTCACTGTCTTGCAGCCACTCTGATGTAGGCTTAAAATCTTCGAAGACGGGCCAAACTCCGCCACCGGCCGGAGGCGTTGCAGCACCTCCACCACCACCACCGCCTCTCCTGGTTGCCATGGTATGTTATGTGTTCTTCTCTCCCTTGAATTGAATAGTTAGATGGTGTTATATAAATTGTGTATTTTGAGAAAATGGTATTATATATATATATATATGTGTGTGTGTGGGAATGGATGTTGAGTTCCTTCAATGAAGAGGGGATGATGATTCCAATTTAATTGCTTGGAGTTGGAGTATTGGGGAATTGTTGTGATTTAGGGTTTAGGGTTATCTGGGGGATGGATGGATAATGTGTTTGTAGGTATTAGGAATGAGTCCTTTGTTTGCCCTATACTGTACGTTGCCGACGCACTACTTTACTTCAATACCTGAGGGGTGTTTTTGGACATATATTCCTGTTTGCGAAATGTGAAAATGGAAGAAAATATTTGACAGGCTAAAATACGACTGTTGTGGGATAAAAGAATTGAAGTGCCTCTCCTACGAATAGCACGGTTCGGTTATTTGCAAATATGCAGGTATTTGATAATCGAACCGAAACAAACAAATACCCGAAACCGCGAACCGTATTCGAACCGAAAATTTCGGTTAACCGAAAATATTTGTAGTATTTGCAAATAATTTGAATCGAACCAAAATTAAAAAAAAATATATATAAAAAAATTAAAATTCTAATTAAATAAAAAATATTGCAAATATTTCAAATATTCGAACCGAAATCGAATTGTATATAATTATTAATATAAATTTTAAAATATAATATTATAAATACGTAAATATATTCGGTTATGAAAAATCGAAACTGAACTGAACAAATATCAAATATGCAGAATTTGTATTCGAATTGAAATTGCTCGGTTAACCAAAAATTCGATTCGATTCAGTTCAACGATTCGACGATTCGGTGCGGTTGTTTTAAATATTTCATACTTTCAAAATTGCGTGCTCATGATTTCATAATTTCTGTGTTTTATTTAACAGTGTTTGACCTACATAATGTTTATTTCTAAACACTTAAAATTATAAATATATTTATTCATCTTGTATTTAATATTTTTGAACAGTAAAAAGAAAAACACCTCTTACAATTAAAGATAAAAAACTAATTTTGAGTTTATTTACAGTTCCATGAGTTTAACTATAAGAATAATGACTATATTAGTAATTTAAAGAGTTTAAAAATGAATATTAGTTTGGGCGCATCCATAAAAAAATTATAAGGAAATTTGACGTAATTTTGGAAGTACGAATTTTGTGCAATTTTGTCTAAATCTTAATAAGGAAAGTGTGTTAATAAATAATAAGGTATTTTATTAATAATAATACTCGATGCTTTTATGTTTGATAGGTGAGTATATCATACCTAAATCTTAATAAGAAATGTGTCAATAAATAATAAGGTATTTTATTAATAACAATACTAAACAAATTTATATTTGGTGGATGAGTATGCCACACTTAAATCATAATAAGGAATATGTTAATAAATAAAAAGGTATCTTATTAACAATAATATGACTCATTTTTTTCTTTTTTGTGCTGTCTTATAAATATTTTTATATTTTAAGTAAATTTATTCATCATAAACATGTCTAATAAATATAAATCAATTTAATTAAATTTATAACTTCTTACACATACAGATTACTCAAAACCCAATTATTTTTTAATCTCTATCCTTAATAAACAATATATATATATATTTAAAAATTCTCATTTTTATAAAATTAGTTCTAAAGTAATTATAAAAAAAATACAATATATATTTTTATTTATTTGTATTATATAAATTTTTATTATCTAAAAATGACATTCATATTGCATAAATATAGAGATATAATCCTAAAGATATTTAAAATACCAACAACACTACTCATATAAAAAAATAATATCATAATTAATTATTAATAATTTACTAATCTACCTTATCTAAAAATGCAGTATTCCTAACAAAAGGACGGGATAAATTTATATTTTGTGGGTGACTATACAACACCGAAATCATAAAAAGAAATGTGTTAATAAATAAAAAGATATTTTAATAATAATAATGCTAAATAAATATGTATTTGGTGGGTGAATATGCAATACCTAAATTATACTAAGGAATGTGATAATAAATAAAAAATACCTTATTAATAATGATACTAAAAACAATTATATTTGATGAGTAACGCCTAAATCGGAATGTGTTAATAGTCAAAAGATATTTTATTAATAATAATTGTAAACAAATTTATATTTGGTGGGTGAATATGCCTAAATTATAATAAGGAATGTGTTAATAAATAATATTACTTAACAAATTATATTTGGTGTGTGAGTATGTCACGCCTAGACCTTAATAAGGAATGTAATAATTAACAAATACAGATTTTTTTTCTTTAGTTTCTATTTATGTTTAATTTAAATTTAAATAAAATTTTATACGTTAAATTAAAATCCTATGCTATAAATACCCTATGTTCATTTTCATATGTGATCAAAGAAATCAAAATTAAAACTTTGAAATATAATTTCTTCTTCAATGGCGCCGGAAAAGAAGATCGTAGAAAATATCGCCAATTGGATAACGCTATTTGACGACGGCTCCGTCGACCGGACTTGGACGGGGCCGCCGGAGGCCATTCCCAATTTAACCCCCGTGCCGCCGCACCAACATTTTGTCGACGGCGTTGCCGCCATCGACGTCGTCGCCGACGACGGCGCCGCCGCACTGAAACTCCGGATATACCTGCCGGAGACGGCGGAGCGCGACGGCAGCGCGGAAAAGCTGCCGGTGCTCCTCCACTTCCACGGCGGAGGTTTCTGCATCAGCCAGACGGACTGGCGAATGTACTACTCAATGTACACGGCGGTGGCGCGCGCCACCGGCGCGGTGGTGGTCTCCCCCTACCTCCGCCGCGCGCCGGAGCACCGCCTCCCGGCGCCGTGCGACGACGGGTTCGCCGCTCTGAAGTGGCTCCGCTCCGTCGCCGCCGGCGAGCGCCGCCAGCCGTGGCTGGACCGCCACGCGGATTTCAACCGGGTTTTCCTCATCGGAGACAGCTCCGGCGCGTGTGTCGTCCACCAAGTGGCGGCGCGTGCGGCGTCGGAAAATCTCGCGCCGCTGCGACTCGCCGGCGCGATTCCGATCCACCCCGGATTCGTCCGCGAGCGGCGGAGCAAATCGGAGACGGAGATGCCGGCGTCGCCGATGCTGTCGGTGGAAATGATCGACAAGATGCTGGCGCTGGCGCTGCCGGAGGGCGCCACGAAGGACCATCCGATAACTTGTCCGATGGGAGAGGCGGCGCCGGCGGTGGAGGAGCTGAATTTGCCGCCGTACCTGTGCTGCGTGGGGGAGATGGATCTGATGAGGGAGACGCAGTTGGAGTTTTACGAGGCGATGAAGAGGGGGAAGAAGGAGGTGGAGCTTCTGATGAGCTCCGGCGTGGGGCATTGCTTCTACCTGAACAAGACGGCGGTGGAGAGCCGCCCGGAGATGGCGGAGGAGTACCGGAAGCTCATTCAGGGGATTGCGCTCTTCGTCAAGAACCATTGACTTTTTTTTATCTGAGTTGACTTTCGTTTCATTTACTCTCTCTCTCTCTCTCGTTCGTTTTTCAATTATTGCTGGTTAGTTATTATTATTATTATTATTATTATTTTTTATCTGTCATCATTTTCGGAATGTGTTTCGTTGACTCTAGTGATTGATTAAGTTGGGTGTGTTTGTTTGTTTTGAGAAAGAGATTGAAATGTCATTCCCTAATTTTCATCTTAAAAATATACTTATTAAAGTATTTGTTTTAATTTATACTATCAAATTAAAAATGTCAAAAAGATAATTAATTTTTTATTTAAATATTACTGTTTGTATCATTTGATTTAATTTCTCTTTAAAGAATAATATCTCCGTGTACAAAAAATAAAAAGCACGACCTAAGTCTTGTCTTTCTCTCTAATACTATAGTAATCATTGTGCAGTTTTCTATTTAAAAAGCATGTGTCAGATAACACATAAACAAAATCAGACAATTTACTACATTAATTAATATATGCTCTAAAATGATTCCAACCTACCTAGAAAAACTTCAACAAAATTACAAAGAAAATAAAAGTAATTTTTGTAGACTGGAAGAGTTCAGAAATGCAGGAAAGGAAACAATAGATATACAAAGCATTGACAACTCTTATTACCATTTTGTATATTAAAGAGAGCTAAAATGTATATATTACTCTGTCATTGATTTCCGTATTTATATAGAGGGAGCTTAACAAACTAACCAACACTTTATGTACACCACTAATCCATGGCCCACAAGCTATAACATAATTTTGGTGCGAATAACAGATTAGCAATCTAATATGTAGCACTATTATTATGTTGCTCTCAATTATCTTCACTGATTACCCCTCTCCCTCAAGGGCAACTTGGATAAGGTAACCCAAGTTTAGCTTTACACAAGTATAACGAAAACCAATAGGTGTAAGAGGCTTTGTGAAGGCATCAACAAGTTGTTCAGAAGAGTGGACATAAATGAGATTAATGAATAAGTATAGCATTGACGAATAGTCAATGTCAATGTGTTTGGTGCGCGTTCATGGTGGACAGGATTTTGCACAATATGGATAGGGGTTTAATTATCACAATAGAGAGAGAGGGGAAGGGGGGAGAGAGATAAAGGGCCATTAAGATCACGAAGCAAGTAGGAAAACCAAAGCAATTTTGAAACAGTCGTAGCCAAAGCTCTATACTACAGTCTCTGTGGATGAACAAGCTATGGTGGGTTGAATTTTGGTCTTCTATGAAATAAGACATGGCCCAAGGAAGATACGAAAACCAATAAAAAAATTTATGATTTTCATGCAATACGTCAGTTTGCATCAAAGAAAACAATCAATAAAATGTCACTAGTGGCTAGAAAGAATAGTTGCAAGTGCTTAGTTCCATTCAAGTATTTGAGCACGCACTATGGACATGCCATGATTTGAGTGAGTTGTTGAACAGAATAACAGATATTCGACTGAGTCATCATTAAGTATAAGAGTCTATCAACAATTCTTCGATATTCTACTGGATTGTTTAGGGCTTTGTCTGTGCTGCTTTGAAGCTTAGACCCTGCCACAAAAAGTGCAGAGCATGAATTGGAAGCTTGCATACCAGAATCAATAAAAATATCCTCAATGAAACGTTATTGTAGACTCGATCTGTATACCATGGAATAAATCAACATGTTCATGATCCTTGATAGTGAATTCTTTATGCAGGAACTGTTTCATTTCCATTATAAGTAATGAATTTGTTCCTATGAGGAAATGTCATCAACATAGAACATAAGGATGACAAAATAATTCGTCTTGGTACATGTTAAAAGACAATGATCATGATAAGATACCATAAATCCAAACTCCAAAATCCTTTATGAAAACCTTTTATACCTCTATCGGAGAGCCTGCTTTAGCCGATAGATAGATTTATGCAACTTACAAACTTGATTGGATGGAATGTTGTTGCCTTGAGGAGGAACTATGTATACCTTTATCCAAATAGCCATGAAGAAATGCATTTTTAAAGAAGCAAGTGCAAGAATTATTTTAATTTTCATTGTCTTAGCAACTAGAGCAAAGGATTATGTATAATCTTTTCCTGGACATGCAAATAAATTTTGGCAACTAATCTGGCTTTATAGCGTTGCACACTTCCATCAACATTCCTCTTGAGACGATACATCTACTTACATGAGATAGACTAAACACCACTGGGTAAAAAAGTGACTGTGAGTTTTCCTACGTGGCATTTTTTCAAGAGAAGTCGCCATTGGGCTTGAGCATAGGATGTAGGTTTCTAATCACTGACGGCGGAAACACTATGCCACAGAAACATAGATGATAAGTTCTTGTGATGAGGTATGGAGGCATGACAAATGTAGCCTTGCATCCAAGCAGGTTTTTTTTTTTTTTTTTGGGCGCTTAAGGAGGACATAGGGATTGATGTTGGGTTCAGAACTGGATGAAGGTGATGGAGAATTGTCAGGGAGTGGATCAGGCAGACGACAAGGTGAGAAAAAAGCTTCAGAGAAAACAATCAATAAAATGTCACCAATGACTAGAAAGAATAGTTGCAATTAATGTCATTATTTGTTAAGTAGATATTCTTTTAGACCATCATTTTAAAATATCAAATTATTCTAATTCATTTTTACCATATTCAAAGGTAGATGTTAAATATGTTTCTAATTCTAAAAATGTGTTTGAAATTTCTTTAGAATGTTTACGTCCTATTACATTATAAAAATCATAAAAGAGTGAAAGTTGTGAAGGTTGAGATAAACTATCACTACAAGAAACACTAGAATTAGTATCTATATTTTGACAGTTCTACAAGCACCAAATTGTTGTTTATATTCTCTAAAAATATGCATTAAAAGTTGTGTTACTTCATATGCAATTGAAGTAGGGTTAGAAGTTTCATTATTTTTTTCAAGAAATAATGAGTCGTAATAATATGTTAACAATTGTTCTAATCCATCTAATCTTACTCTAGGATCAAGTATTTTAGCAACTAAAAATATATCAGGTAAATATAAAAAGTATTTATACCATTTAAGTTTCATAGAAGCAATAGCATTTTGAAGCAAATAATTTGAAGGAGATCCCTTTAATATCGAAACAATTTTAACACAATGATTTATAGCCAAATTAGAAGTATGATAATAAATATTAGATAATTCAATAGGAGCATCGTAAAAATCTTGTAATATTTCACACAAATTTGAGCATGAATCCCATTGTTGTGAAAATAAAGTAAAGCCACATTCACATGCTTCTCGTGAAAAAAAATCACATAGTGCATCTCTATATTCATATGAACCACATAGCATTCTATAAATAGAATTCTATCGAGCTTGATAATGTTTTGGGTTTGTAAATTATTTTGTCTACAATATCTTTTTTATCGTTTTAATAATGAGGCGTGTCTTACTAAATAATAAATTGTTTGTTTAGTAGTATGTACATGTTCTTTTCCAAACAATATAAACCATCTTGAACACATAAATTTAAAATATAACCAGTTACCACCAATTGATGATTGACATAATTCAATGAGAGAATTTGAACTAACAATGTTAGCACTTGCATTATTAAATGAAATTGAAAAAAATAATAATAAAATGGTAAGTAAATTATATTTTTGCAAAATATATCGTATCTTGTGAGAAATATTTGTTGCGGTGTGTTCTACATTAAATTCTCTATATGCAATTAAACGTTTTTGTAAAGTGCATGAATTATCAATTCAATGACTCGTAATGTTCATATAATGATATTCTTGCCAATGATCACTCCAAACATCCGAACATATAGAAACTTTATTTTGGAAATTATTAAACATATTAATTAATTATAAATTTCATTCACCAACCATTATATCAATATCATGGGTGAGTGTTGAGGGGTAAATTCTTCTAGCAGAAGGATTTTACGCAAGCATTAGTAACCCATTTTTCATAACGTAAATCATTTGCAAATTTAAAAGAAAGATGTTTAGAACAAACTAACTTAGCTAATTCTCTTCTAGCATTAATGTCACTAGGGTACTTATCTCATCTCCAATTTTGAAAGTGGAAGATGGAATTAGTCCTCGAATTTGTGTTTGTGATGAAGTTATTCTAATTTTAAAAGGGTATTTCTTCTCGACATGGAGTGTAAATATTTTATATTCTCCTTTTTTTTGTAATTATAAACTTTAGAACAATAATTATAAATAACTTGAAAGAAATTACTTATTTCGTTTGCTTTCTTGGTCCAATGTGAACCAGCGGTTGCTTGACCTTTGTCATTTCCTCTAGATATAGACGATAATATTTTTCTATTACAAAATTAATTTTGAATGGATATTAAAATATATAAATAATGTAATTATGTAATGAAGTAAATGATACAAATAAATAAAAATTCAACTAATAACTATTAGCTAAAATAAAATACTAAAGAACAGAGTAAAATGCAAAAATATTACTATAAACTTAACACTTGAAGATTAAATGATTGTGAGTGAGACATAGATGGAGTGAGACTTAGAGAGATAAGAACGTAGAATTTATCCATCTATTTATACACCCATCAATAAATTACATCCGCTCTTTTACCAAAACGTACATTAAATCTTCACTGTTAATTTCAAGTTTTAAAACAAAAAAATCACCCAAACCGGTAGTTCGAACCGAAACCGCCGGTTTGAACCAACGGTTTACAATTTGGCTCAATCACAAACCGAAACCGAACGGTTGGAATGACAGTTTAAGTTCGGTTTGAGCCCGATTTCAATTCAAACCGAAGACCGGCGGTTCTGAACCAAATGACCAAGTCTAGCGCCGGCTTCAACAATTTGGAGCTTGAGTTTGAGTTTTACAAGCCGAGCTCGTACTACCGTTTTAGATCGAATCCTTGTCGAATCGAGCCGCGCCAATACGATAACATTTTCATGTTAAAGCTCAAACAACACATACTCAAGCTTACTCGGATCGCTCTTCACGGCAACCCACCCGGTAGTAAAACTCCAGCTCTGGCCTCTTTTTACAAACTCTTATATTTTATTATAACGTGAAAATCCGCGGCTATTACTTTTTGAATATATCTTAACCGTTGGACGACAACAGATCGTTAACTCGCATATATTTTTCGATACAGTCCCCTCACATCACACACCGTCATTCAACTTATTCAATATTCGCCATGTTACGCCATCCGGCATAACGCCGTTGCGCTTCATTTCCCCAACAATCTCATACGCTTCTCTCTTGAATCCCACCCTGCAAGCGTAGTCGAGAACCACGTTGTAGTTCACATTGTTGAGCGAAGTGCCGCAGTTGGCCAGTTCGTACAGAAAATCGCAGGCCTCGATGAACTTGTCCGAGAAGCACAGCCCCTTGAGCATTGCCGAGTAGACAAAGTTGTCGTGAACACCCGAGGGCCACACCGTATCCTTCCACAACTTCTTCGCATCATCGACCCTATCCAACTTGCACAACCCCTCGATCATAATCGTATTTGTCACACAATCCGCACACACTCTGTTGCCAGCCATGTCTCCAAAAACTTCCATAGCTTCATTCGCTCGCCCGAGTTTAAACAATCCGGATAATAAAGTATTGTACGTCACGACCCCGGGCGAAAATCCTTTCCGGGGCATGACATTTTTTACGACGACAACGGCTTCATCCGCCCTACCTGCATTTAAGAGCCCGCCAACAATCGTGCCGTAGGTAACCTCGTCCGGCCCACAAAACTTCCCCTGATCCATATCATCCAACACCTGCAAAGCCTCGTCGACTCTCCCCATTCGACAAAGCCCTTTGATTACGGTATTGAGCGTAACAATATCCGGCTGGCAGTGCGCCTGGAACATCGACACGAGCACATTTAGAAGTGCGGTAGGATCGTTCACATAACAAAGCGCCCGCAAATATATATTATATATTCTTGTCCTATCCGCGCCGTCCTTACTCAACATCAAGTCTAGAACTCCCTTCGCTTTCGCCATATCGTATTCCCTACAGAGACCTTCAACCAAGATTGTATATGTATACAGAGAAGGATAGAACCCGATCTGCATTCCTTCTTCCAGCATTTGGTATGCTCTAAATACATCGCTATCATTGCATAAGCCGTGCACGATCGAATTATACGAAACCAAGCTTGGAATTAAACCCGCGCCTCTCATTATATAGACGATCCGCGCAGCGGCGTTGTACCTCTGGAACCTACAAAACGCATCGACCATTTGCGCATAAGCGAATTCTTTGCGAACATGCTCGCCTTGCGGCGTATCTTCTGCGATCTTAAACACCTCGTGGAACAATCCTTCCCTGCACAAACATTCGATTACATGGCAGAAAGCAGCATTGTTAAGTTGCTCGATGTCGCCATTGTTGTTGTTGCCGCCGGTATTGCTGCTTCTCATGACTTCCCAAATTTTGTCCATCAAGATCTTTCCTCTCTGAAAATCCCTGTTTCTGAAAACTCCATGGATTAAAGCACTGTAAGTAAGCGCATTGGCATGAATTCCATCCTCAGACATTTCGTCGAACACCTTGTCTGCAGCTGCCACATCGCCATTTCTGCAGTAGCCATTGATGAGAGTGGTGTAGGTCACAACGTTTGGAGAATGGCCTCTGATCATCATATGATAGAGCAGCAAATGCGCGGCTTCCATCCTCCCAATCTTACAGAATCCGTCGATCAATCGGTTGTAATTCTCCAAACAAGGCACGAAGCCTGGCTTCTCGGAAACCATGGAGTTCATCAAGCGCAGTGTGGCGGAGACGTCGCGGCCGTCGAGGAGGCGCGCGATGAGGACGTTGCAGGTGCGCTCGTCGGGAGCGTTTTGAGAAGACACGAAGAGGAGCAATCGATTGTGCGCGTCGAGGAACCGGCCAGCGTCGCAGAGAGCGTGGATGATGCTGCTGATGTTGAGGGAATCGGGGCGGAAGCCGCGGAGGCGGAGGCGGTGGAGGAGATGGAGTGCGGCGTCGGCGTCGCGGTCGAGGGTGCAGAGTTTGTGGATCCGTCTCGTCCAATGCGCCGCGTCGGTTATGTCGATGGATTCGAGGTTGGCGTTGTTCGGCGGTAGGGTTGATGGGAAGGCAGCGAGCGTTGTGAAGCTGAGGCGCCATGGCAGGTGCGTTCGTGAAAGCCACATCGAAATCGAAGTTGATTTTGATATGCCGTAGTGACATCATAATAACTTGTTATTTGAGGCATTGTTCTTGCGCCGCCACATGGATTTCGAGGAAGATGATTCTCTCCATCGCCATTGTTATTCAGCGGCACAGGTTGTTTATTGAGGAGGAAAGGTTTAGTTACAACCATGAATTGAATTTCATGTACCAAACCAAATCATCTCATCTCATCGTTTTGGAGAAATCTTTGCATCGATCCAAACCTAATTTACAATAAAGAGATGGAAGAAAATAAAATTTGCAAAGTTGACTGCAATTTGAAGTTAAAGAGGGTGATCGTACGTGTTAGTTTTGGCTCTAGTTAGATGACTACACATTTCTTGGATAATACACTCCCTACATTTCAAAACACTACGGCCTGATTTGCAGGGTATTAAGTTCGACCGAAAATTTATTCAGTGCACATTTTCGTGGGACGGTCACGAATTCCCACGTCATCCAAAAAAAATAATAAATAAAATTCACTTCCTAGAAACAAAGCAAAATTATATGCAACAATATTAATAATTTCATAGAGGAGATTAAAGCAAATTATTTCTTTAAAAACCACAACACCAGAATTCATTATGATTTCATCTAATAGATCAAAACTATCTTAAAAACTATTGCAATTCACTGTAACACAAGGCACCATCACATTGGCAAACTGCCAACTTCAGCCAAAATCTGTACAAAATAAAATAAAAACAACTACAATCTATCTCTTCTCAAGTTTAAAGGAAGGATCTCAGTCGAAAGAAATGACCTCTTCAGAAACATCCAATATTTCCTCGACTTCGACTTCTTTAGCCTCATACTCTTCTTCTTCATCACTGGCTTCCCCATCGCGCAGCTTCTGCCTGTCCAGTGTTTCTTCTTCATTTAGCCGTTTCCATTCGCTCAGCCACCTATCCCACTCTTCCTTCAGCATTCTCCTCCTCTCGCGCTCCTGCTCACTTAGCTGCAGAGATACATCCTGATCCTCTGCCTCGTATTTCTTGCTGTATTTCTTGAGGTTTTTGGCAATCTCTTCCTCTTTCTCGGAAGTCAAGAAAGATGGGGGCCTTGGCCGCCACAAGAACTGCAGTGAAGCAACCATAATGTATGTCACGGACAAGAACATCAATGTAAAATATAGTCGGCCATCACTCAATAGAACAGACTCGATTGCTCAGAAGAATCAAATATCTTACTTGGAAGAAATGATCCTTGAGTATCCTGTACAGCTGTTTTCCATTGAATGACCAGACACAGAATCCATTTTCCATCTCATGCACGGACGTAACTGCAGTCACAACGTACCTATACAGACAAAAATACCATGTCAAAGATGAGAAAATCCACTGCATATGACAGCAAGAATGTTATTCCAAAACCATAAGAATCTTAGTGTTATGGGTGATACCTTCCAGTTGGATCCCACTCAACATCTGTCGCCATGAAATGTTCGGTTTGTGCCATGGTCTCAAGCTCATCAACATTATAGAATTCTAACTGCCCATTAAAACCTTTTAACCCAGCCAGTATAATAAAGCGGCCACCTGGTGACCAGAAAAGAGCATTTGCCTGCTTTCCCTTGAGAGTGGCGAGCTTTGAAACCCGACCAGTATGGGTTCCACTGCGCATTGAGTAGAAGCTCACATCAGGCTTTGGGTTATCACCATGGATCACTGCAAATCTGTGACCTTTGGGCTCCCAAGCGAAAGCAATGATCTTATCATTCTTATTTTCAAGTTCCAGAACCTCAATAGGTATGTCCCGTTCTTTGATTCTGAAAAGCTCAAAGCCAGTATAAGTGCTCTTCTTGGTTTTTGTATAACGATCTACTTTAACAGCCAGGTAATCCCCATTGCTTTGCCAATACATCTTACAATCACTAACACTGAAGAGATTCTTTTGTCTCAACTCTTTTTTGCTCGGTATTTGCACAAGACTCACCTGGTAATAACATCAAGAAAGGTAAGGGGAATAATTAATTTCCATTTTAGCATAAGCATCAAGTAGTTAAGCAGGAATTTGTGAGTTCACCCTAGCAGGTTGATTTCCTCCACCGAGTTCAGGAGCATACAGTGCTAGAATGGGATCAGTAGGTGACCAACTGAAGTCCACAACGTTTTCAACCTTGATGGACTTCTTATCAATAAGGGTAAATGTTTCAGTTTCATAAACAGAAACAGTATTTTTCCCTATTCGAGCAAAGTACTTGTCTTCTCTTCCACCTCCCCACCTGTAAAAAAAAACACTTGTGATACATTAGAAACAGCCCTGATCTAACACCAAAGAATGTGCCAGTGGGTTGTCAATCGTCTCACATATAAACAAGTGGGGATAGGACAATATCAAACTGATTTTTACTAATCACCTGAAAACAGGCCAAGACACTCCACTAACACCACCAGTTCCTCCAATAGCAAAGTCATCAGCACTCCCCTTGAAATCTCGCATAACTTTTCCAGTTCTCACATCAAAAATGTTGATCACAACCCTCTGTGAAGAGCGAAGACACTCTATTTTATGACATGATCAAAGTAGGGGTGTGCAGCATTTCAAGAACTAATCAAGAATATTTACATGTGTATCACGAGGGTTGCTGGGTTCATGGCTGCTGTAAGTCACCAGATATGTCTCTCCAGGAGAGAAATCAATCAATTTCACCTGCAAACCAAACCATTAATACTCAAGGCCATAAAATAGATAAAGTCCTAACCCTAAACTCTAATGACCTGAGGATGAGCACATCGCATCAGACGGTTGAAAGTGGTCGCTCCACCCCAGACGGCGGCACCCTGCCTATGCACTGTAGCCAAGTACGTTCCTAATGGTGACCACTGCACAAAACTCTCTGTCCAGGACTGCAACAGGCATAAAGAAAGCACAAGGGCGTATCTAGCATCATTTTGAGTCAATTTACATGGCAACGAACAATGCTTATACAAACAGTCCTTTAAAATGCGCACACAGCACAGAACCACTTACAGATCTTTTATAAACAAGCTCAGGCTTAGCATGCCTTGCATCATTCCACATAACCTCAGTGTCTGAACCTGCACGAATCACAAACTGATCCCTCGCTTTTTCATCAGTGAGCCACTTTTGCAGATTTTCCTGTATAGCCAAGCCATTAGTAAAAAGGAAAAAAAAATGTGCGATCAAATCAATAAATTTTCTGGAAAGAGAGACAGAAATCTCTCCCACAGATTAGGATGCCATATAGTCGGACATGTGCTTGTTAACGAGCAAATGAGAAAAAGGAGAGGAAGATAACTAACCCCTGGAGCGTAAGGCTTGGTTTCTGGAGGTGCCCACTCCTCTGGGACTCTCATGAACTTATCAATGTCATCAAACATATTAACAGAAAAATTGTGCTTTCGATCCAGTTTGTACCCATGAGTCTTTTCTTTAGCCAATTCAGCTTCCTATGCAGAATCCAAAAGTGGAAGTAGCATTAAATAACCATCCTATAGGGTTGCTGCTGCAGCAGCCGCTAGTACAATAATAAAAATCATCATCAACAAAGAGACCAAATGCTTTCAAACTTCAGTCCACTAAAAGAACATCTAAACGAGATTCCAATTAAACAGGAATCTCGTGTTGATACAACACTCAGATCAGTAAGAATTACATCAGAGAAATCAAAACCTAGAGATTGGTAGAAGGTAGAGAGCAATGTGCAGTAAATCTTCCAGTGTAAGAAACCAGCAGTTAAGGAACTTGAAGACAATTAACCATGTTGTCACCTGAGGGGTGTTGTATTCGATGAAGCAATAGCCTAGTGTTTCCCCAGTGTCGGGTGCGACGGGCATCCAGAGACCATTCTCCTTGATTACACCCATCTGACTGTAGATTTTCCTGATTACTCCGTCCAGTTTCTCGAACTTATCTTTTGTCACCACTGGCAAATTGTCCACCACAATTATATTTCCAAAACCCTCCTCGAACTCCAGTGGCTCCCCCTCCTTCAAATCCTCGTCATCGCTGTACGTAAATTATCAACAGAGATGAAAAAACAAGCAATAGGTCTAACATCAAACATGTGGAAATCTAATCGTCGATGTCGATGGGTTACCTAATTATGCCAAAATCTTCGCCTGGAGGGAGACGAATTGAATCGAGATCAATAGATGCTACATCAACATCCAAACGCGAAGCAAAGTCCCGTATGTCCTCCATTGTCATCGTGAGCGCCATGGCTGGCGGCTATCGCTGCACTGCCAAGGAACACGAACGAGGGAGGGGAGGAGCAGTGCTGGCTTCTGCGATATTGAGAAAATACGGAGATATGAGAACGATGGTTGAGATTGTAAATTGAGAAAACTAAACCTAAGCCTAGGGTTTCGAGGAAAGGATCAAGTGGGCTGGGCCCGTTGGGCTGCTGTATTAGTTATATATATATATATTACTAATATATTATCAATTCACATAGGGTGTGTTTGTTTGGAGATTTCCCCCCAAATGAATTATTCATTCAATTTATTTTTTTTCAAAAAATCAAATTTATTTTTTATTTTTTATATTATACTAAAAAATCAATTTTACATTCAAAATATCACGTCAACAAATATTTATATCACATCGTACCATTATTTAAATTCAAAATTTTTACTGTTTAAATCTTAACTCGAAATCCAAACCCCCAATCAAATACACCTGTAAAAAATAATAAAAACACAGTGGATGCGATTTTTTGGCATTAGTTTGAAAATTTTAGTTTGACTTTGGTTTGGATTTTAATTTTTTTTTTTTTATGTTTTTTTTTGTAATTTTGAAAAATTACATTTTTATGTGTATTGATTAGATAGATAAAGTATGTTTTGTTTAAGTTTGAGATTTTTAATGTGTATCATTAGATAGATAAAATAATAAAGATATAAAATATATCTTAAATTAAATTATGAAATTAAAAATAGTATAATTTGTGTTTAATTTGTATTAAATATAAATAAATATTTATATTCTATTAATTATATTATATAAAATTTTATTTTCTACGATAATATATCCATAGTATATATTTTATTAAATTATAAAAATATTCATTGTGTTTATTAAAATTTTAAAAAAAAAATAGTCAAACATGATAGGACCTACTATATAGGTGCATAAATTGTCGGTTGCAAGGGATCTAAAATAATATATAGATCAGGGAATGAATTAATATAAGAATGTTGTACTTTTTTTTTTTCATTAGAATTTTCTTTCGTATATGATTTTTTTTTAATAAAATTTTAACGAGACACGTATTTTTGTATA